ACAAGAGACAGGGAACTAAATTTGGGTCTCGGGGGTGGCTGCCACTGTCTTCTTTTCTTTCTTCTTCATTCCAGCACGTGGGTTTCGGGCATAGGGTTAAGTAGAGTAAGATGAGTCTCTTTACATTTTCATGAACTGGTCATATGCAGGATTTCAGAGCTTTGGACTGCATACGTAAGTTGTCCAGTGTATTGGCGGAAAAAAATTCGGAAAACTTTCGAACAAAACCATCACACATATTTGACACCTAGACACAGTAGAACGCTTGATCCTATATGGGCTGCGTAAAGATCACAAGCCTGCAGTGCCCCTTAGACCTGTCATATTGTGCGGTGGTCCTACAGAAAAACGTCGTGTCTTTTAGAGAAAAGCTCAACCAGCTCTTGAGGTTTGACCTTTTTCCCAATCATGTGCGGGACACCAGAGACTTTTTTTAAAAAAAGGCTTCTAATCATTCGCAGGCAAAAGGGTTACCAGAAGGCAGCATTTCTTCAGTGTAGATGTTGTCAGTTCATATGGCAATACACCAGTCAATGAGGCTATCGCTGCCGTGAAAGCTAAAGCAGCGAAACATTTCCATGACATTGATGCTCTAGGTCTAGCAAAAGAGGATATCTGCGGTATTTAGGGCAGTGTATCCAGATAATGTTTTCTCGTTCGGATCGACAATCTACCGACAAAAGTGGGAATAGCAATTGGGAACCCATGCGCTCCTCTCTGGCGATAATATATTTAAATCAATTTGAAACAAAGCCCTGGCCCATTAAAGCCAACTTTTTTAGCTAGATACATCGATTATATACTGGAGTATGGACTCACGGCCAGCGTGCCCTTGAGGAGTTTTTAGAGTTCATGAATAACCAGCACCCAAATTTAGCTTTTGCGGTGGAGCATACGGGGGGCGGAAAGGGCTCCCCTACTTGGATACGCTAGTGACGGTGGAAAGCAGGAAACCGCACAACGTTAGAAACGGGGCTCTTTATCAAGCCAATTCTGGTATCATTCTGCGCTGCGAGTCTAAGCATCCAACTTCCACTTAGCACAGCATAATCGTAACATATTCGATAGGGCTCTAAACAACTCATCAATTAGTGAAAAGGAAAGAAAGCACAAACAAAATATGAGCTTTGCGGTTGGGTAACGGATATTCTCCGCAACTATTAGGCAGAATGTTGGAAGAATTAAAGTCTAGAGCGCGGGGGGGGTGTGGTAGGAGGCGCGAACACGTCCTATCGGAAGACGGATTCTTAACGCTACCTTACATAGATGAGCATTTGCTTTGGAAAATCAAGCACATTGTTCAAAAATAAAAAATGCACGTACGCATGGCTTGGAAAAACGACAAGGAGATTGTTGTCTCTGGTAAAGTCTTCTACTCGAAGCTTAAGTGCCCGGGTGGCAATAAATGTCATTTATGGAATTCTGGGCTTCAAGGGGTTTTCACGCAAAAAAACGTGGTTTACGAATCAAGAGTAAACTGTGTGAAAAACATGGCAGGGACATAGCCTCTGTCGGGGAGCCCATGCGCCCTATTCGTTTGAGATATAATGGACACCCGCGAGACGCTAAACACAAAACAGGGAATACACCTTTCGGTGACCATTTTTTAGCAAAACATGCTCAGGCTGAAATCGAGGGAAGTATGAACTCTATTTCCCTTTTAGAGCTCAAAGTCACCTACGGAGCACAGAACCACCCAGACAGGAAAATGCATGAATATATTCTTATAAAAAGTCGGCGGCCAAATTGTAACACACAGGGCTCATCATGGCCAATTATGCGAACGTGATAAGTGCCTCTAAGCATAATAGTGCTAGCTTAAAATCGTTTACATGTGTAAGTTATGCCTGTCGCATGGTGTGCAATGCTGTTCAATTGAAATCGTTGCATGCACAATCGGTGAGCGATGCATGACACCTGTTTACTTCAGCTCGCTTGCATGTTTGGATAGAGTGGGATGCGTGATGCCTATTTGCTCGAATCTTTGAATCTTTTGACTGTATACGGTGAAACATTAATTTGTTGTGCACGTGTTAGTGCTCAGTGGTGTATGCAAATTTCTGTATAATGAACGTAGCTTTTTATTTTTCACGACAAAATTCGATTGCACACCCTTACCCGCGCGAGGGGTAATATGCTCCACGTATC